TACATACCTCGAAGCCCAACTTCGATAATTTTAAAAACTCAATTCTAAATTCCTGAGCAACAAATAAGGACGGAGTTTTAACGATATTATTCGGGCATCGAACAGTGCTTCATTTGAAATTGTAAATTCAGCCACCAGCAAACTGTTCCTATTTTATCGCACTGCTGGTAGTTTTGCTTTTTTCGTTACACTCATTCAGTGAGACGAGGTCAGTTCAGCCCCTTTTGAACGCCCGACCATCGGAAAAAGAAATGATAAAAGTGATAAAAATTCGTCAAAATTAATCACAAGTGGTGAGGCTATGGACAGCGCCACAGATCACCTCGCTAATTAAGCTAAATGAATGCAACAAGTCAATTTTAAATGTTATGCAAAAGAGGGATGAGACGTTACCACGCCACATCCAATATCGACGATTCGATTGATATCATGCAGCTTACAGTAGCTTGTCAAAAGGGCTGCGAAATTCTCAACTTCATGACGTTTTTTGGCACTCACTGAACCGTTAACCTCAACCAGTGATGTGGCACACTGCGATACATCATACGACGGAAGTTCGGCCAAACAGAGATCAAGAAGACGAGCTATTTCGACGGTAGCCTCGTGGAATTCGAGCAAAGTTTCAGGGCAATCCTAAAAATGCAAAGTAGAAAAGAACGACAACAGAAACATGATATCATCTGTCTGTCATATGATGACAGTCTTGAACAGATGCTCAATTCCTCGCTAGTGTAGGAGGGACTTTTTTTGATACTGACAGCTTGTGCCAAGAAGCCTAACAAAAAGTAATTTGGGAAAATTCTACAAAAATTTCGTAAAGAACAACAGTGCCACTGACAACAAATATTATTTCTACTACTTCTTCTGTTATAACAACAATACCTAAAATGATAACGATTTTAACAGCAGCTCGAAGCACTTTGCAGCAAGACCACCGGTGGACGCTCCCTCGAAAATAAAAGTAGTACAAACACAGGCAAACACTCTTGCAGCTACAGAAAAGTGATTCACGCTGTGAACCGTTTTAACTGGACGAGATATAGCACAGAATGTTTGCATGCATACCCATTAAGTTAAGCAGAAATTAGCTCACATGGCTGGGCTTCTGGAATGGGAAAGAGTTGAGCTCATCGTTGCTCAAATTCGCAAGATATGCCAGCCACTGAAAAAGACAATCAATCAAAACAAAACACGTTCAGGAGCGGCGACTCACCTTCCCCGGAAGCAAAACTTGATGACAACATTTACTCAAAGCATTTATTTCTGAATTTCCAAATTTTGAAGGGAACAACACAGACGGAAAGAGTACCGCCTTGCATCAGGTGCAACTCCATGCAGCCAAGCAACGCAATTAATCTACAAAGATTTCCCTTTGCTCAATTAGCAGGAAACTCACTTCCTCAGGCACACGCTTCCAGAGACCTTCGGAGAAGAATTTGACGTTCGGACGATCACACAAGAAGTGATACTTCGAAACACAGTCCACAACTTTGGAGAGTAATTGCGCCTCACTGCATGTCACTTCGGTCATTGCTGGCACAGCACCACTTGTTCCATCGGTTCCATCAGGCTGGGAAACTGGAACGTCAGAAGACATTATTACCTCCAAGAACCCTCTTCCACACCGCCAGCTCCTCACTTCAATCGCACGAAATTCACGACCCATCCAAGCCGGAATCAAGATACGAGGAACAACGCTGATAACAATAACACAGAGAGCCGTATTCGTAACAAAAAGTTTTATAAAAAACCATCACATCAGTTAGCAACTTACAGACATATGAGGCCCCTCAATAGAAAAGGGACACAATGAACGGATAAATAAACGATTCAGACAAAAGGCAGTTGTTAAGAAATATATCACACACACACGTAACTTGCAATAAGCAAAATCTAAGCCTTACTGCCAACAGGCCAGTTCAAATAAAACAAGGCGAGCATAGAGCTATACTGGAACGAATGATGATCGTAC